CCCCCCCCCCCCGTAGAAGAAGTTTGATTCTCTGTGCAGTATTGTGACAGCGCTGAGACGAGGGCCAGTGACAGCGACAGGGTGAGAGTCTGATTGAATGGCAGCAGAGGACCGTACATCTTTAAATTCCTCATTATCCACTAACACACAGACACCACGTCTGCTCCTATTCCATTACTTACTCCTCCGTATTGTCATGCTCCGAGAATTCAATGTAGTACCTTTTATTGTAGAAAATGAAAAATGTCATTTTCCCCTTCTCTCTCTCTCCCCCTCTCCTAACACTAATTTAAAATGTCTCATCTCCTTCTGCATGTTCAACAGTCTGATTGCCTCAGTGCTGAAGAAAGAGGCCTAAGAGGAGGAATCCCCTCTCTTTGTGAAAAGGAGTCCAGGTGGGAGCAGAGGAGGAGGAGGAGAATGGAGTGGGATGATTCATGAAGGTGAGAATCTGCAGCTTCATCAGAGTCGGTCAAGCAGGACAGCTGCTGCTGCTGACCTCTCCAACTAGCGGAGAGACCCGCACCTTCAGGGACTAAAGGTCTTCTTATTCTTTTCCCTTCAGCAGTCACATCGCTCCCTCCCTCCCTCTGTCCTTCTTTCTTTTCTTTCTCTACCACTTTTTCACTCTCAGCTTATTGCAGCGGTGCAGGGTTGGGACTTAACCTACCCAGAGAAATAAAGTCCTTCAGGTCTGCAGAAAAGGACAGTGGCAAGGTGCCTCTGTGACTGAAATATAGTATACATGAACATGTGTTAATATGCGTATCCCTGAATGAGTTCATGTGTTATCTAAAGGATGGGTGACGGAGTGATGAACACATGAACTGTGTCCTCCCTCATGAGCCGAACAAACAGCAACAGACACTGGAAACAGTTGAGTTTGCCTTCAGAAAAGCATTATTTAGCTTTTCCTTAAAGGGCCATACTGTCATAATTTACACTGATAACTAAATACTATAATATATATATATATTTAACACATAATACATGATAGTTTGCCCACCACTACATTTATATTTGTGTATTTTCATCATTTGATTTTGACACAAAGCATAAGTAATAGTCCAATATTTTGTGATTTTCTTTGTCTTATATGACAGTAAATTGAGGATCTTTGTGAACTGTTGGTCGAACTAAACGAGTCAACTAAATATGGCACCTTTGGCTCTGGGAAACTGCGATGGGCATTTTTCACTACACTAACAAAGTGATTCCCTGATTAATCAAGAAAATATTTATTAACTGCAGCCTTAGTGCATTTTCTTTTTCTTATTTCTTTCTATCTAACATCATGTTTTTTGAACATTTTTCATTTCCTATTTTGATATTTCACATTTTATTTTTGTTATTATATTTAATTCAAATTTATAAATGAATAATTTGATGGGTTATCTGATGTTTGCTGTGATGTCTGCATAGTGCCTTATGTATTGTTTTGGTAATTATATCAAAATCTCAAACTAAAAAGGCCCAGAGCCTTTTGCCTTGGGACATATCAAGCATTCATTATTATAAGATATTATTTACATTACTGATTCATGGTCCCAAGTGAGATATGTTTCCGGGACCCAGAATTTCAAGCAGCACCCCTGCTTATAAGAACCATAATACATTTATTAAAGCCACTGTAATGAACCAGAGTTTGTTTCAGATTCACTAACATACATGTATGTAAAAAGCTATTTCTTACTTAAACAAAGGCAGGCAGCTCTATCAGTATGGATGAGGAGAAGACTGTGCTCTGTTCGCTTTCCTAAAATCCACTGCCGGAGACACAATGTTCCACTGCCCTCCAGTGGAGAGCTGCAGGACTGCAGACACGATGCCTCTGTAGACTGATGAGGAATTTGTTTCTTTTATGTCACATGAAATTTAAGAAGCATTTAAGTGACCACACCCCTGGGTTTTCCAGGAGCAGGTGAGGGTCAGTGTCTCTCTCAAGGACAGACTGTACACTATGGATACTAATAGGACCAAACACAACTGAGAGCCTAACTACGATAAATAGTTAAATACATCTCTTCTGGTGCATTATCCAAGACCCTGAGATGCATATAGTATGTTAAAACTAGTTTAAAAGTCCTTTAAATATAGCTTGTATTTCTTTTATATTGCCATAAATCACTAACTGGACGTAAGTATGGAAAGATACCGTTTTTAAATCAGCCACGTATAACTTTGGTTACAATGTCAGTGATAACAGGGAAATAACACTATTTTTTGCTGAATTTCTAACCTTTTTGTCTATGTTCAAATAAATGAGCTACAGTAACTTGTACAGGCTTTACCAACCTCGCTGCAGGGAAACAAACATTTTGGATCAATGGATGTCTGGAAGATCTCAGTGATCGTACTCCCACTTGTGATATTGTCCTCAGTACTTTTTTTGTTACTAAATCTGAATTTGTGGTGACTGAGGGTACACGGAATATATTTGACGATACAGGTCTGGTTTTATACTGTCTTTACAAAAAGTTAACGTCTAACTTTCTCTTCTACGAAAAATACAAAGTTTTGTTTTTAGATCAACATGTATGCTAGATTTTGAAAAGATTTTTCAATTAATTGAAATTAATGTATAAATATCTGGAGGAACGCAGTATTATTGCCATTTGAGATGACGACAGATTTCACTGTATTGCCAATGTGCCACATTTTGGTGTTTTCTATTTTTTTGTTGTATCCAGTGTTTGACTATAATTGAAAGTGTGGAGCAAAATCAGACTGCAATCCATATAGCAGTAATTTTTAGGACTCATAATGGCACCAGGATAATCCATGTGCTCAGTGATGCGTCTTGCTCAGGACCAAAAACTCCTGCGATGCCTCTTTATAGCACTAATGATGACCTACAGAGTGAGCACTCAGTGAGACCAGCGGAACGACTGCAGGGTCTCCTGTACTCAGTATTTATAAAGATTAAGATGTCAGGCGTCTGAGACAGAAAGGACAGGATCAGGAGTCTGTGTGTACAGTATTAGATGAAGAGGCTTCTTTACTGCCTGTATATTAGTGGTTAATCTGCCCTAACAAGATAGACTGGGACGTGCAGCCTCTCCACTGCATCACTGATGATGAAACCAGTAATGATGGAGGAGGAAAGCGAGAGGTTGGCAGCTAAGCCTGAAGTAAGCTACTTTGGCACGGAGCGACACACGGCTGGTCGCGCAGCCTCTGGTGTGTGTGAGTGTGTGTGTGTGTCCAGTTATTTAATCAAATGTGTGACACCAAGTAGATTAAAGCACCAGTAAGCCATGATGCCACTTTTAATTTGCTAAGTTAAAGGAGAAGAGACAAACAGAGTGTTGTAGGCAATTTAGGGTAATGTTGCCTAAGCATCTACAGCATGATGAGTTATACAGAATTGAAATATACAGCCGGCCATAAAGCTCCACTGTCAGGAACTTGGTTCGCCAAAAAATTTTGCCTTTTGGGCAAACCAACCCTTTGACAGTATCCTATGTCTATTTCCCCGTTTCCCAATCTTCCTCAGTTAAGTTTAGGTCTGGTGACTGCTGAGGGAAAGCTACACAAGCCAGCAGTGCTTGCTCTTCCTTGGACTTCAAACACACCTGGTATACAGTAGCTTCCATGCATGTTCAGAATCAATATACTGCTGGAAGATGAATCCTCTTCCACACATATTACTGAGCCAAAAGGCGTAGGATGCCTCTGCAAAATACAGTGGCATTTCTCTCTGGCACCTGAAACAGCCCCACAGCTGAATATTTCCACACCCAAGTTTGACTGGAGGTTTTTGCACCGTTGCATTTACATCATTATGGACTGTGGCCTTGGATATGGAAGCTCGTTGCAAAAGTAATGTTAAAAATATAGAACATGGGATGTAGCATTTAAGAGGATCTATTGGCAGTTTCTCTGCACACTTTACAGCCCGCTCTGAATCCCAGGTCATCAGATATCTGTCAGCTAGTTGCAATCTGCAACTTCACCACTAGATGACACTAAATCCTTCACAGCGGTCCTTTAATTTAGTCAATGCCTGGTATGAGTTGTTTAGAAACAGTATTACAAGCATAAAAGTGTGTAAATATTTGAAATGTAGGCTGAGAGATCTTGTTATAAATGGTATGTAAATAAGGTATTCAGATTAATAGGATAATGTCTCAGAGTTAACTGTTCTAAATAATGTAGTGTTGATGATTATGTATAATCCAGGTCAAACATTGCTTTCATTTAAAAAAAAAAAAAAGTATAATTGGTTCAGACTTCTTGAGCACCACTGGGACAAGGATGCTTCGTTCCAGTTAAATAAATTATTGTTATTTATGGTTTATTGACATGTGGTAGATGGTAATTGTACATCTCTCAAAGGCTGATGATCAATGACTTTAAAAACTTCACTAAAGGATGAGATGTCAATGTAGTTTGGACATTTTAAATGTTTTATTGATTCAACAGAGTTTGTTTTAGGTCGGGAAAATGTGTCGAAATACAACATCTGTACTGTGTAAAGCTTGAAAAAGTACCGTAGTACTAACAGTCAGGTTGCTGAGGAAAAGATTTAACAAGCCACAGAAAGAATGCACAAAATGGCACAAGGCAGTAAACATAAGGCAGTATCTTCTTTAACATAAAACAGTCTCAACGTAAGATTAACACAAGAGTTATTAAAACCTGTAGCAAGTGATGTGACGTAAGATGTGCTGATTAATGTAATAGCTTGTCCAAATGTACACAATGAACTCTAAATGGGTGAATCCCCACAGATGACGATAAGATCTAACATCTGTAGTCACTGATACTGTCACATATACACACACATACTGACATAAGGTTCTCTTCAAATACACAAATAATCACCAGTTACAATAATAACATGTTATTTCACATTATTTGGGAAAGTATTGATTTAGTTTCAACCCATTCAGATGGAACATATTAATACATTTCGACCAGCTATTAGCCAACAATTACTACAGTTGCTCACAGGCTAGAATAAGACATTTAAAAGTAAAAGGACTCAAGCATTTTCTCTAACACTGAAGGCAACTTACAACAACTGGGGACATTCGGTCGACAACACATTTGGCCATTCAGCAGCGTCATCTTGATGTACAGTCCAGAATAAACATCCATTTCAAAGTCTGGTTTCACTAGTTTTGGGCACATTCTTGACTTTTGGTTTTCGAGTTATTATTTTGGCCTGACTCCTTTCTCCTTCTCAAACTGGGCAATCTGATTGAAAATATCCAACAGGTTAGTTGGGAGGTCTTTTTTAGCCCTTTCTCCTGCCACCGAGGTCAAACCACTCTGTTTATGATTTCCAACACCTTCTAATCTTTTACTGTTTCCTCCATCTGACCTTCTCCTCTCTTCCTCTACTTTCCCCTTTCTGTCCTTCTCTCTCCTTGCCTCCTCTATGTTCTCATACCTACCACCATCGAAGGAGTTCCTCTTGGAAGAGTCGTGTCTCATCCTACTCTCCACGTGTTTGGGCGCAGAACCGGAGTTCCCTAAATATTCAGATTTGAAATTGGATTTCCGTGAATACTCGGACTCAGCCGACGAGCAGGACACTCTCCGCTTACTGATCTCCTCTAAGCTGCTTCTCCTCTTGGAGTCACTGTCTCTCCTGTCTTTCCTGTTATCCCCCTTCCCTCGCTCCCTGCTCTTATCCTTCCTTTCTCTACTCTTGCTCCTCCTCTCTGGGCTTCTACTCAGACTGCCTTTCTTTCTCTTTGTCGCACCCTCCTCTCTGTCCCTTCTCTTCCTTTCTCTGCGTGAGGAGTCAGATTCTTCGTCGTCTGAAGCTGCCGACAAAGAATACAGTTGAGTGATCCGTTTCTCTTCAGGATTCTTCTCCTCCACCACCTCCTCATCCCTCTCTCCAAACCCGGGGCCTCCTTTCTGGTTGAGAAAGGTGCCGGAGGTGTTGGGAGGAGCGGGATACCACTCCACCTCCTCCTCCTCTTCTTCCTCCTTCCTGTCTTTCTCGCTCTTACCCTCACTCCTCCTGCTGTCCCTTGAGGAGATCCTGCGATGGCGCTTACTTCCCCGCTCAGACCTCCTCCTCTTCTTTTTTTTCTTTTTGGACCTCCTGCGAGAGGAGGAGGAGGATGATGATGAAGGAGAAGAGGAGTTCCTCCTGGAGGGAGTGGAGGATGACGGCGAGGAAGAGGCTGACCTCTTCCGTTTTTTTTTCATCCTGTAGGAGAGATATTCACTGAAAAATCGTATTCTCATAAAACAGCTGATACTTTGACGTTAAGAGATGATCCACACGCCTTTATCTGCAGTATATTTACCTGCAATACCTTTAAAAGATCACAGCCAACTCACCTCTTCTCCTCTTTTAAGATCTTACGCAATTTCTCAGCACTGGTCTGGCTGCTCGTAGCTTTCACCTGCTCCTTAGCCAGCGCTTCTTCACGCAGGCGAATCGATTTCTTTACGGTCGCCGGGCGAGGCAAGGCAAGACATGACAATGGCAGGCAAAAGTCCACAGAGACATATTCAAACACATAAACGCCATGACCCAAGACATGCAACAGAGACCCCGAATCAGTCATTCATTTATTTAGTCATTCGTATTGGAGTAAAAAAGTATGGGAAGGAAGAGGGAAGCCAAAGGTTTGAGGAGGACAGAGCGTCAAGATCACAAACCACAGATGAGAAAATGATCGAGAAATAGACGAAGGGTCATTTATTTACCACAGAAGAAGTGGCGTGATCCAAGAGCACGGTAGTTGGCATAGAAGCAGATGGACAGATAGAAAGGTACAGGCAGAGATGTGCAGAGAAAGCAAACAGCATTTGTTCCCGCATTGAGACAGAGAAGGTTTCAACGTTACCGTATTTGGACCGGGGACACGGCGAACAACAGTGTCCAGTGGAGAAGTCGTTGTCATTGTGCAGTTTTTGTTTTATTTATTTTTTCCGCCCCGGCAAGGCAGGTGACAAGACCGTGGCAGTTGGAGGGTCAAAGGGCAGAGTCCCAGGGTCGCAGACACACACACACACACCAAAACACTTCATCAGTATTACAAACCAGTGTCAGAAACATGAATGTGATGCCAGCTTTTATACATTTCTACATCTGTTTCAGACACCAGACAGAAAGGCCAATAAGGAGACCTCTCAATTGTCTTTATAACAGATTAATCTTAATAACAGTCACACCATAATGGGTTTTCTGAACAGTTTTATCTGGATGAGATGCTCTGCAACAAGCATTTGCCCAATATCTCAGTCTAAGGTGCTGGTGTGCAACAAAAAACTACCCGAACCCACTGTGTGTGTGTGGGTTGTGGCCCGCTCACCTGTATAGTGTCTGTGATCTTGTGCAGGGCCTCCTGCGCTTCAGGGTTTAAATCATCGAGAGACAGAGCTCTCCTGTACAATCCCTCCGCTGTTACTAGTTTCTCCTGTTCTTCAAGCCTAGACACACACACAAAGAAAACAATTAGTAATCATAATATAACTGTTACTGCTCTACATCGACCTTTACTTTATTATTACGGGAACCAGCCAGCCAGAAATAGCTGATGCACACAAGCCTGTTCCAAAACAGCAATTCTGTCATTCTCATGTAAGGTCAACTCAATGTCAAAAACCTTTTTTAGGGATTTTGCTGCCTCCTAAATCTAATTATACAGGAAGTTTAAAAGGGGGGGGTACTGACTCATGTTTAAAAAAATGCATTCATTGGCAGCAGAAGTGGTGGTGAAGAGGTGATGCCTCTTCTTCCTCACAAGTAGGCATGTGGAGCAGCATGATGATGATTACTTTAGGATACATGTCCATTTATAGACACACATCTAAAAAAGAGATTAACTGGACTGTGATGCAGTTAATCAGAAAAAAACTGCAGCGTATCTAAAAGGCACAGGTCCTTCTTTCAGGCGCCAAGTTCTATGCCTTCTAGGAACTAAAAATAGCATAGCATTTAACCTAAAGTTACTTTAGATGACTGGCTGGCTGCTTGACTACCTGCCCTGAAAATACAGTTTAATGCTGCAAGTGGAGCCATAAGAAAGGGTAGTTAAATCAATCTAATTTGCCCAGATCCAATACTTCTACACTGACTTGAGTTCATTGAACATTTTAAAGACAGTACAGCGAGTGGGCATCGTCACAGATTAGTGTCAATCAAGGAAAAGTTCAGACACAACTAAACAAGGTGATACAATGAATGCTGTTTTAGTCGACCAGTTATTACCAGCAATAATAATCCTAACAGGCACTACACAAGGTTAGCTCTTGTAGGTAGCGAGAGATGACCCTTAAGTGTCCCAAAGCATCAACGGGTAGCACAGCATAAAAGTACGGAACAGTACAGAATTCAAAGATCTTGCACCTTTGAACTACTATGAAAGCCAAGGGTGGCACTGCTTACTGTTTTCCTCTCTCCACCAGTGTCTGGCAGAGGTACTTCTTGGCGTTGCGGTGATCTGGACAGCTTTCCAGGGCCAATTCAAAGTCTGTTATAGCCTTCACGATGCTGCCTTTGTTAGCATACCTGTGAATAACCAATGGAGAAAACACACACTGAGACCAAAAACGCCTTAGAAAAGAGAACTCAGTTATTACTTAAGCATACAGGAGGGTTATAAATTAGTTAAAATATATATTTACAAGTGTGCAACATTACAGCAATTTTTCTGTTAAGCAATGCAATTCATAAAGGAGTTTCGCTTTCTGTTGTCCCGTCGTAACACATTCATTAGAGTTTAAAGGCATAAAAGGTATGCTTTTGTGTTATTGAACAGCAGCTTTTCACTGTAACATGAAACAGGTGTGGAAACCTGAAAAACATTTCTGCATATCTGCCTCCAGACTGACTGATGCATACTCTTTGTCTAAAGCATTCTCTGTCAGTGCAACCTTATTTGACATTCACCAAAATAAAAACACACAAAGTGGATGGCTTGTGAAAATGAATGCATGAATGCAACTTCCAGACGATGTAAACCTATGTAAGACTCGTTATGTGGAGTTATGCATTATTATAACATCAAAAGTAGGTTGTGTAACAATCAACTCACAGAGCTCCTCGTGCCACCAGTGCTTCAACATTATTAGTGTCGATATCCAAGGCTTTGTTGTATTCATTCATGGCTTCCACATAACGACCATGTTTGAAGTGGTCTACACCTGCACGGACACTGAGAGAACAAAGACAGACAAAAGAAATGGAAAATGGCTTCATATTAATGTCAGAAGAAGCCAAAGGGAAAACAATATGTATTATATAAAAGGGTAAGTTGTTCACTTTGTACTGTGATAACTATAAGAGACAATGAAATTAAACTCAATGAAGACACTCGTGCATCATTTCAGCATTTCTTGCGGTTAGAGGTTTAGCATTACCACTTCAAGGCCCATGAGGACGACTGTTTCTTCCTGATTGCAGAGGCAAAATCCTCCGCTTGGAAAAGTTTGCTATGGACAAAGGAGACAGAAAAGTAACACTACTTAGATAACTACGACTTTGCTTTGATTCTCATTTTCAAACAAAGACAAGCTAACCAGTTAACACAATGTAATCATCAGCCTGTGGCAAAAAATGAGTAGCGTGTGTGCTAAAAAGTAAAATCCTCCAACAACCCTCATATTCAAGTTTAAACAGGTTAAATTTAA